TCCGATGTACTTATGTTTGAATTCTTCTAAAAACAATGACCAAGTTACTTGGGCGTTAGTCATCCTCAATGTAACATTAGTCCACCAGATCCTTGCTTGTCCTCTCAACAAGGAAATTACTCCATCTAGCTTCTCAGCATCGGCACAATGAAGTCCCGTAAGCATGACCTTCACGTCATTAAGCCAAAGGTCCGCAGTAACAGGACCTTCATTAGCTTCCCCTTTAAACTCTGGAGCTCACAATCCCTTCAACTCTTTCGCAACATTTATTTTTGGAGTTAAAATAACAGGAGGTTGGAAACGCGTCAATACCGCGTCTAACGTTCTAAAGAATATATCTTGATCATTGACAGGCATTCCAGAGGATGTCTGTTCTTCACTCTGCCTGGCCGGGGCAGGTGAATTACTGCTTTCAGCGGGTCTATCGTCTCCCGCTTCATTTCTAGATCTACCTTGTCCGGACATCTATAAAAATACAACCATATAGTTCTATTAGCAAAACAGCATACTTACTATTCTATCAGATCAGAAGTTTCCACTATTTGTTGGCATGTATACCTTATAAGACACTCTAGACTTCAGTTTATGCCGAGAATCGACTAAACCGTAGCTCTGATACCATTAAATGTAACACCCTTAACTCATATCCGACCCGAATACAAGTCCGAGGTGTCACATTGACTTTTCAAATCTTTGACTTTTACAGAAAATCCCGGGAATTTTTTTAAAACTTTCATTAAAACGAAATACATTAATTTACATAAGACCATAAAATACAAAATCGATCAGAGTATTCGTAATTAACACTTATTACATACCAACACTCTATACATAATCAAGTACATACTTTGTCAATTACTTCTGATCTGATCTCTTAGTAGTATTGCTGCCTGTGCTACTTCTATTTCCACTCTTCCTGATTCTTGGTACCTACGTGTAAATCACTTACACGCTAAGTCATAGACTTAGTGAGGCAATACATGAATATGCAACGATAAACTTATGAATGTTCATACTTACCATTGGATCATGACATTTCAATGTGCATTTATTTATCACATGATAACATATATAATCATATAATGAACATACGAAACTTACCTTCTTGTATCACTTTCATTGTAAATCGGTATTTCAATTGCATTGCCCATGTATATTATTGAGAATAGAGGTATGTGAGTACATTGAGGTTGTGCACTAATGCTGTCACCACAGCTCGTATCAATTCCCTCATGGGGCACCCGAACCTTAGTTCAGTATTCATCCCGTAGGACTATTATCTATGTCCCGTAGGACCATTACATCCCGAAGGACTACATCCCGAAGGACTACATCCCGAAGGACTATTATACCATCGACTCTTGGCATGCCAACTACACCTATAGTTCTCATATCGTATACTATGGGCATTATTCTTATTTTTCATATGTTCATGTACTCATCTCATTTCTCTTGTGATCATGTATCTCATATCACTTCATATCGTGTTCTCATATCACATGTCATATCACATATCATATCACATGAACATATACATGTCTTATGCATGTATTACAATAATTATCATGTATGCATGTTCACAACTATTGTATTATAAAAATCAACATAGGGATTAGACTTATCACAAGTCTTATTCCATTATAATATACATCTAGTATGCGCTCACCTTAGCTTTGCTTTGTTTCGATTCTAATCCTTTGATCGTTCCGGAATAAGCTTACTTTTAGTATCTACATAATCACACATGGATGTATATCAGTATTATAACTAATATACTCTAATGGTTCACTCTTTAGACTAAGAGAAAAGTCAATTTCATCTTTTAATGAAGGTATGCATCGATGCACTACTGATGCATCGGTGCATCAAAGGTATTCGATGTAGTATTATTGTTGGGATGCATCGATGCACTCCTTATGCATCGATGCACCAATTGCATTTGATGTTTCATTATTAACGGGATGCATCGATGCACTACTTATGCATCGATGCACGAATTACATTCGATGTTATTATTTTAAAAGAGTGCATCGATGCACTACCAATGCATCGATGCACATTCAAACAATTTATGGGTTTTAACATTGATGAATCGATGCATTATGAATATGCATCGATGCACTCTGCCCAGAATCCTCTTTTTGAACCCGAAAATTCATTCATTTTGGATTAAATCCTTCATGTTTAATCCCCTTTTTCATTATTAACTCTAATACACATACTTAAACCAATCTATACTCATTTATTTCATCTTAAACCTCCAAATCCTATCCTTCATATGTAATTCAATAATTACATCGATTTTCAACATGTTTGAATTCCACTTTTAATACTTCGTATGTCTTAACTAGATTGATGACAAGTCAAATTTAACTTTCAATTCTAGTTATAAACTCTAATCCAAGATTTCATTTAAGAACTTCACATCTTAAATCCCTCCTAACTCCATCATCCTTTGATGTTAAGATAACTTAAGCTTTACTTAAGATTAGTTATCATCTAATCATCAAAAACCAATCTTAAATTTAACAAGAAACTCAATAATCAGAAATCTTACCTTTGCTTTGGTTCACGCATACAAGGAAGAAAGAAGAAGAAGATAAGTCTGGAAGCCTTTGGTTCTCTCCTTTTCAACCCACTTGTATTCATATATATCCTTATCCCTTGTTTAATTAATTGATCCTTGCAATGACTCTTTTGCCCTTCCATTCCTACTTCCTTTCAATTCAATCCTACACAATCATTTACATATATATCTTTATACTATTCATTCATTCTATTTTAATCACCAAAATTTGAAACTTTTCAATTTAGTCACTAACCCAGTATTGAGGATGTTACACTATAAGCTTCAAATAATTTCTTGGGCTCTAACACTTTCACTTTATGTTTTAATTCCTCATTGAGGCCACTAACAAAACTGGAACCAAAATAATCCTCCCCCAAATACATATTCTATTATAACAAATAGGGTCTTAACTCCTCAAACTTTTCTTGATACTCCTCCACACTCCCCTTTTGCATTAGCTTATTGAATTCTTCAATAATATCATAATAGTTTCTGTCACAAAATCTGTGACACAAATCAACCTCAAATTCATGCCAAGTAACCCTATACTTCTGCATAATGTACCCATCAAACCAGCTGAGATTAAAACAGATTAAAAAACTTCTGGCATTTCCTAATACAACCCCTGAGATTGTTACCATCAAACATTGGTAGCTCCAATTTTGGTCTAGGTAACACAGAACTTGTGTTCCCAAAAGGGTTTTTAGAGTAATTTCTAGTGTCAGCATGTTCTTCTCCTCCCACTTTAATCTTACTAGAACTACCCATAGGATTTTCTTCTTGCAACTTCAGATTAAAATGTTGATGACCAGTAAACCCCACAGATTTAGAAGATAATATCCCTGGTTCATTAGGTTGAAAAGTATACTTCTCATGCTCACTAAGAACCATAACCAAGCATGGATGCTTACCTTCATTTTTGTTTTGCTTTGCAGCTGCTGGTGGTTGACTCTTTTCTGACCGAGGTGAATTTTTTTCCTCAGCTGCCTGATTGACCAGCTGTAGGATTCTCTGTAAATAACCTATGTTTTCAATCATTCCCTCTTCCAAGGTTTGTATCATTCCTTACAGCTCTGCTTTATGTCCAGCCCACCAAGATGGTAAAGTCTCATCCTTAACCTCAACTGCTTATTCTGATACCTCTATGGTTCTATCCTTTTGCATATTTCTTGTCTTTCCCAACGTGAAAATGGTTTTGGATAACTAAACTCAGCTCTGATTATCAATTTGTTATGTTTTAAGGAGAATTTTCTATAAGAATTTAGGGATTTCAGAATTTAGAAAGAAATAGATTACAGAAAACATATAGATTCCATTCCGAAAAGATGATCATTAGAAGGATGAGATACACTTATATAATTACAAGTACCTACAGCTGTATCAAGGACATCAAATCTAACAAACTAACAGAATTCTGCTGACTCACACCCATATACCTCGTTTGGACTTAATCCATCTAGCCCACTGTCTCCTCCAAGCCTAACTCACACCCCTTATCTATTAGAGATATAATTGGGCCCATGTCTGCTGTAGCTCAATTATTTTTACTCCCATGTCCCTTGTCCCGAGCCTCCAATTCCTTTAATCCAGCTGTGTCTCTTCTCTCTTCATTAGGTAAACTTTTAATCCCTAACTCCTCTAATTCAATCCAATTTTCCCCAATTCCCTTACTTGATTTTTCCCAATTCTTCTCGATCGAACCCGAACTCTCCTGCCATCATAACATATACATTCGATTTATCTAAAAATGGGAAGAAAAAAGAATGGTTGGCCAAAAAGAAAGAAGAACCCAAGATAATTGGAGAAAAAAAGGAAGAAGGAGGAAAACAAATAAACATTTAATGTGGGGAATAGTTTAGGGTATTCAAACAGCTGGTCTAGCATGCTAGGTAAGCATTAACAGTCTAGTTCAACTTTTCGTCACTCTAAGTAATGGATCGTTGAGTGATCAATTTACTACAAATAGATAATATTAGTGACTAATTTATAATTTTCAAAATTTTAGTGGAGAAAACAAAAATTTATCTAAAATTAATGACCATTTGTGTAGCTTACTTACCCTTCAAATAAATAGAGTGGAATGGTAACGTTTTCTTATTGCAGCAATGTCATATCCAGACTGTACTGTATCTTTTCCTCCTTTCCATCTCGCCATTTGCCCCCATTATCTGGCTGCAATATGATTGGTCCACGTTTGCTAAAATCGCCGAAGTCGCTAATTCATTCAAATCCATTTTCCCGCTGTCATTGACGAACCACCTCGACTCCTTTATCTACTCCTTTCTTCCCATTCTTTCCCCCCTCTGTTGTTCATTGTACGTATATTTTTGGCCTTCACTTTTCCCATTCTCCGCCCTTAAAACTAGCCTCAGCTCTCCACGCCCGATCCCCGCCATCTTCGATTTCCACCATAACGGGGATATTATATGGGATGGTGGCGAGGGGGCAGGTGGTTTTGACGGAGTTTAGCGCTACCCAGACAAATGCGAGCACCGTAGCTAGACAAATTTTGGAAAAGATGAGCCAAGGAAATAATGATAGCAACTCCTCTTTTTCGCACGATCGTTACATCTTCCATGTCAAGAGAGCCGATGGTCTCACCGTCCTCTGCATGGCCGATGATGCCTCCGGAAGTAAGCTATTATTATACGCTTTTTGAATTATGCTTCATACACAATATGTAATTAGTTAATGTTTGTTTTATATTAGTCATGTTCAGGGAGAATCCCTTTTGCTTTCCTCGAAGATACCCAACAGAGGTTTGTAAAGACGTATGGTCGAGCCATTCAATCAGCTTCGCCTTACGCCATGAATGAAGAATTCTCCAGGGTCATGAGTCAACAAATGGACCATTTCTCGACCGACCCCAATGCCGATAGATTGAACCGTTTAAAAGGGGAAATGAGCCAGGTTGGTGAATTTTGCAAATGTCTGTGACTATGGATCTGTCCATTTCGATTTAGATTTCATTTATTGTATGAATGATGAATTTGTATGTATAGGTACGAAGTGTAATGATCGACAACATCGAGAAAGTATTGGAGAGAAGCAATCGTTTGGAGTTGCTGGTGGAGAAGACAAGGTCAATGCAGGGGAATTCACTTCGATTCAAAACTCAATCTCATCGTTACAAGAATACTATGCGGTGGAGTAATTGCAAGATCACGTAAGCATATGTATAATGTATATATACATATATGCTCTAATCATAATCCACTCTTAACATAAGTAGAATCATGCACTGAGATTGATAAGATTTGAATTTCCAGTAATATTCATATGAATTGTTGTTGTGTTGTAGGGTGACATTGATACTACTGCTTTCGTAGATCATCACTTATGTTCTGTTCTCATTTGTCTTTCAATAGACACCTTTTCATTGTGCTCGACTTCTCGTTAACTATATTTTGCATGACACTAATAAGTTTTATACATGTAAATGAAGTTTCTCTCTATATGTGTAGGCTATTTTGGCTGTCAAAATTCACATGTTTAATAGATGTGAGAGCCATGATTATGCAAATGCATGAAATGATTTAATAAATATGTTTATTAAAAAAAGTGATTACAAGTGATGATAGTATCTGTTCTAATTCCATAATCTCTAGAATAATAATCATCCCTCTAACCAATGAGATATTTTGATTTGTGCAATATATTTTTAATTTTAAATATAAATGTCGTGATAGAATTATTAAAGGATCGATGGAGGTTAGTCTCCTCCTAGGAAAATGTTAAATTTCTTTTAGAAGTTTGGTTCGTGCAGTGTATTTTTAATTTTAAATATAATTTTTTGATTTTTTTTAAATGAACCTTTAAAAAGTTATAAACTTTTTAAATGTTCCTTAGAGAATAAGAATGAATTCCGCCATTTATAGCTCAAATAACCAAATACATCTTATTCATGCTGGGTTCGTTGAGTGGACGAACCTTGAATCAGAAAAAAAAGGTTTACATATGCTACGCAATTTTCAATTCTTCAAGCATTTTCCATGGATCAAAGTTTGCAGCAGACAATCCGATGTTTCTTCCGTGTTCCTCGAAATACAAAACATGTTCATCCGAGGTATCTATATAAGGCCCGAATATGGTTGAACAGGGATACCTGAGTAGTAAGGGTGGACATTGGCTCCATAAGGATATCCAAAAGCATTAGAAGGCGGCTGTTGCGGACCCATCATAGGCTGCTGCAACATAAAAGCCTGATGCTGACTGGCCGCTGTGGACATCTGGACCGAAGGTGAAACAGCAACCGTGTTGGAGCCATAAAAGCTGTCATGCATCATGACATTACATGTTGGAGGTGGTTCCCACGGATTATAGCCCACTTTCTGGTAGCTTCTTTGGATTAATGTATCCTCGTACAGGCTGTCCAACATAAACTTGTCGAATCCTCCGCCCTTTCAATCAAATACCAAATTAAAATAGTATCGGTGAGACATACATACATGAACATGCTGTCTTACCTATGTATGAATGAACGGACATCACGTCACATGTCTGTAATACCATTTTGTAAGTGGCAGTGGCATTATCATTCGAGATTGGAGCAGTGATAAGCGCCAATTCCCTGCCTGTAGTACCATTTGCTTGAACAGAAGCAGCTGGAGAAGTTGTTTGCTCAGCTGGAACACCATGAAAACATAAAAACAAATTGACATCAAAAAGTCGAAACTTATTTTATGTGGTTAAAGCCAGTAGAAAACCGGTTAGTTGATGTTTCATGGCGTAAAGCATTGAATTAATGAAGATGACTCAAACTCACCAACAGGAACAATAGCCAATTCTAAGGCATTCTTCTCATCTAATTTTGATGCAACCGTGGCAGGATTGTTTAAACCCTGGTAAGAAAAAGAAAAGCTCATTACGAAACCGCAAAAGTTGCAGATGAAACCATAAAAAGAGACTGACATTACCAACAAATCAAGCGGTTCAGGCAGAGAAGGTGATGAACATTGCTGCACCTCTGGGGCTTTCTTGCACTCAACGGCCAACACTTCTTTGGGGTTTTCAATCTGCTTGTCATATCAATCTTTTGTAAGATTAACAGAGTAACAAAATTCAAAGCAGGAAAAATATGTCAAAGAGATGGTAATAGAATATTATATATGAATAACAGCTCAATTGGCAGAAATTCATCAGCTTACATATATTAAATCTAATTGCATGCATGCAAAGGCATAAAAATATATATAAATTATTTTGTAGACCTGATCTTTGCGCACTGTTGAAGCTTGTGGAGCTTCATTTACATAATCTTCCATTTCTTGTAGAAAGGATGCAGGGGGCTTCAACATAAACGTCAAATGAAAATTAGTTTCTTCATATAAATAACCCTTGAGAGTTCAAGGCAAAGCGAATCTGTCAAAAAAGGCACCAAAGTTGAAGGTCCCTAACCTGCTCTATCTTAACATACATATCGCCATGCCCAATATCAAGTCTTTTACATACTTCATAAAATTCTGAAAGCCCCTCCACCTGAAAATACAAACTGAGTTCTAAATCCTCTTCATTTACGCTGGAGACAGTATTAGCAAAACTAGGACAGTAATTTACCTGATACCTGGATCTCCTGTATATATTCAAAGCTCTCATGGCATCAGGACGGTCCATGCCAAAGAACTGTCATTTGTTCAGAGCGTCATATATATATATATATATATATATATATATATATATATATATGATTTACCAAGAGTTAAAACCGCATAGCTTACCTTGTCCATGAGATTGATTGTACCATCACTTAAAGCTCGATAAATATTGACACTTTCTAGAGCAACCTGTTTGAATTGAAATAAGGGCACAAGAGAATGTCATTTCCAAACCACACTCATTGGGAGCATAGATGAGCACTGTGTTTGACAATTAACATACCAAAGAAAGTGCGAACCGTATCACAAGATTATGAGCGGCGGCCCCTATTGGCTGCACAGAAATTCTATTAATGTTTGCACAAAGAGATATGGAACTAACACGGCCAACAACATGAGAAAAGAGGAATTACATACTCACCTGACAGCCAAGAACATGAAAAAGAAGTTGTTGCAAAGCTGTCAAATGTTCAAGCGCCTCTGCAGTGTCCAAACCTTTGGTTCTCTGCAAGAAGATTTACATCTATGACGTGTCCAGATAGTTCAGTTTCAATAATAAGACATTATGCATAGAACATAAGCTTCCTACTGGGCCGATCATCTCGATATCATACTTCAAGATGCGGAAACATTCCAACCTGTCCTCCAAGTACAAGGCATAACTGCGAACCCAGGCAGAATAATCCCATGCTGTGCAGCAAATAATTTAAATAAACTTAAATAAGATTCCATGAACTATGAATTTGAGCTTTCTGAAAATGAATAGTAACATGGATTCTCAATTAAGGTACTCTTTAGGTTGGAATCATCCTTGAAATGAGACAGGTTAAGCATATGGCGTCTACTTCTGCCATGGTTAATGAATTCTTCATGAAATGTAGGATCCACCTCCCTCAGAGCACGATGAATCACTATTAAAGTTTTCAGTGCTACCTAGATGCCAAACGAACATTCAGTCCATCAAATCTAATCAATGTATCCAGTTTTCACTTGTAAGATTATTCTGCATTTCTTTAAAGTAGCAAACCAAAGACTCTGAATTGTGAGAGAATAGTAATACAGTATGTCTGTAATCCGGCATACCACCCAATTACGTGTCCTTGATAATCGTCGTGCAAGAGCATAGATGAAATAGGCAACATCGGCCCGAGGCCTAGTAGCTGAAACGGCAGCGAAAATTGCTGCAAAAAAGCGAGAGTCTAATTTTTAAGAAAGAGTTTCCTGCAAAACATGAAGACTAGAATACGACATTGAGCACCCACCTTTAATGTATTTTTCCTTTGCAGGGCGTTCGTAATGATCGGTGGCCTTCACTATAGCAATATCCAGTTCCTGCAAAAACAGAATAATGCATGACCGATAAGGTTCATATCGTAACCATCTCGATTGTTGTTATTCTTAGATACAGCTAAATTCACCTTATATTCACTATGGAATTTGGCCAATGAAACCGTGGTGGTATCTTTGATAGCTCCGAGAGCTTTCCTCAATCTACTCTGCTTGCTCCCGCCAAACATTCTCTCACTTCCGATCACAAACTTTGCCCGTTACAACATTTTGAATAATTCCGATCACACGCAATGCAGAAGCAAATGGCAGTAATCATCAATATGTATGATAATTAAGGGGGGAAATTCTAAAAAAAAGGCTAATCAAACTAATTATTGAAAATTGCAGAAAGAGAAAGAAAGATCTAACCAAACAGAAAGTGCTCACGCTTGAATTACCACCCAATGTGGAAGAAAACAAAGATTTAAACAAATAAATTGAAAAAGAAAATCAATAATAATTCTAAAATTATATTAACCTTCACTCGGTTCTGCCAGACTTGTCTTTTGTTGTGTCCTTCGCGTCACAGTTTATTTATTTCGATTTTGCTTAAATTTAATTTATATAAAAATCTTCTTCTAGATTTTGATTTTCTCTTGTCCATGTGTCAGAATACGCAACTGTAAACTGAACTTTGGATATTTTCGACCTTTGTTAATATATATTTTATTTTATTTGGATTTGATATTATCAAAGATTAAATCCAAGGACACTCTTACTTGAATTTGACAATTACTTATTGCAGCCTAAAGAAACCTACGACCTTACGATCCGAAGTCAAACGCGCTAATTCACTGCGCTATGGGATCCTACGTGTTCTATAGTTTATATTAGTTCTAAAATTGTTTGTCATGCAATATCCTGCTCTCTTTGCATACCGAGGAAAATAGGTTTACAAGTACAGGCAGAGCCTTCTCAGTATTCAACTAGCCGAAATCTTAGCAATACAATGCATGGTTAAGATCCTAAGGTTTCAGCTTAGATTACAACAAAAAGCCTACATTCATGCCCTATTTTAATTATGACATTTGTATGTACAATTATCCTTTCTAGTATAAGCATCAAACTTGTGATGGCGAATCAGAACATAACGGACACGGCGGGTCACACCTATTCTCAAAACTTGTTCTCTGTTCCAAACAATCTGCATGATATGCATGCCCACAAACTAGAATCGCCACAACAGATAATTCAGCAGAAGCCAACGCATTTCCGAAAAAATACGGTCTCCGACTCAAATGCTTCTGACATATGCCACAAATCATCTTCATCTTGTCGGGTGATATTGCATCCATCACTAACAAACTGGACCTGATCCTTTCTGGTCTCCCAGATGCTTGGTGCTTACCATCTGCAAAAGTTGGAACCACCAAGTTAATATGGCAAAATACATTAATTCCCACCGTCACACGCTATATATGAATCAAATTCTCAGAATGAAACCTGGTTGACATCCAGACTCTGAGTTGGTGTCGGTGATCTTGAAGGACAATTTCTGATCATCATGCAAAGGGCTAATCTTGCCACGAGAAGTTGATCGATTAGAATGGTTGCTGGAGTTCTGCCATTGGTAGTAACGGCGTGATCGTTTCGAAAACATCGAACGCCCAAGATTGTAATGGCGTTGAGCAACAGAAGATTTATGATGATGTATCTTCACAGAACTATCTCCAACACCCATGCTAGCATCCATATTCAACCAAGGCTATAAAAGAAAATGAAAAAAAAGAGACAAAGACAGTAAAACCGATGGTACATTGCAGACCATTCAGTTGACAAAGATATGGATGGGCAAAAGTAATCAACAATTCTAGAGAACCAAGCAATCAACAGAGAAAATTAAAAAGTACCCAAATCAAAGATAGATGAAAATCAAATATTGCAGAGTTCTGACAGATTGAAACAAAAGAAACGTACCCGAGAAGAAGGAAGAGACCAAGATTTTTATGACTGTGATGTCGGAAACTTGTCCGTCTCTTTCCCATTATAATGAATTAACCGAGACAAAAGAAATAAAATTAAGAAACGAATTATAGTAAATTACCAAAAATTAAAACCAAAGATGAAGAAGTTTCGACAAACAATAAACGGCCAGGTAAACCATAACCCCAAAAGCCCTTTCTTTTTTGTGAGAATATTTGGGTTCTGGGAACTGTACGGTCAGTATGATTTGTAGAGATAGGATCACATGCAGCCAGCAATTTCATTTGGAGCCGCTTATATGTACCGACGTTTTGTTTTCCGGAGAGATTATAGGAAAATGCAAGAGCGGATGAATAAAATAACACGTACCTGCTGACATGGCGTCCATCCAACTCATTACCTTGTAACGTGCACTAGATTTTTGCATGCGAAACAAGTACGCACGTTAAATTTATAAGACATGCACGTTAATTCATAATTGGATGTTTATCTTTCGTATCATAAGTTAAAATATTTATTTTTGACACTCTTAATCGTTCTTGTTGATCTTTCAATAAAATTTTCTTCTTTTTTTAGATATATATTTTTAAAGTTGTCGATGTAAAAATTAAGAAAACTAAGTTGTCGGGGCGTGACATGTCCAATATATGATTCGTTCAGCCCGAAAGATGCTCCAACCCAATTTTTGGAGCAAGCTAGTTAAAATGATCATGGCATTCTACATTTAAACAGTGCCGATTGCTATCTTTCCAGTTTCAAAGCACTCGGTGTTGATAGCAGCAAAATTTTTCTGTGTCCATTATTCAAGTTGTGGTCTTTTCTCATCAATCATGTTCAACTGGTTCCATCTCCACATTGAACTGTGAAGTAGAGGGGTGAAAGAAGTCGCCTTTTAAACAACGTTTTTTTGTTATTCATACCAATTGTTGGATGATAAATCATCAAGTTCAAAGAATTGTTGTAATGTCCCGAATTTCGGGTTAGTAGTGTCGGTCAACTAGAGACTCATTGGTAGAGCCCATTAGATATTCCAAGCCAATTTTAGACCAATTATTAGAGTATTGGGCTTAGGTTGACTCAATAGTTATAGGAAAAGAACCTAAAGTGTAATTTACCCTTTTTGTTAAAGTTGAAAGTTTTCCCCTCTTTTTATATCATTTCACGTAATCAAACTTCCGTATTATCTCACCCACTTTTCTTCTTCTTCGTTTCATTAGTTTCCATTTCTTTTTCCTTTCAAGAGCCAAGTTTCAAGTATTCTAAACTTAGTTTGTTGTAGCCAAGTTAAGGGGATCCATGAATCCAATCTTGGTTATAATATATTCAAGTTACCTAGAGCATCTTAAGCTTTAATCCAAGAGCTTAGTTAGTTTAGTAAACCATTATCTTGTCTTTGTTTAGTAAGGAAGGTCTAAAGCACGAGGAAAAGAGAAGTTGCCCCTTGGTTAACTTGAGAGAATTTCTAGCAAGCAAGAAGCAAGTAACACACAATCAACTCTTTCATACTCCTAGTGATCATTAGAAATGAGTTCTAGCTTGAGAGTAAGTTATAAAGCTTAGAGTGATATGTTAATGGTAGATTATATGTTTTATGTTATAAGCATGATATAAAGCCTTATTTATGCTCCTTGTAATCACATAAGACTTTGGGGACCTCACTATGGTCTTTGAGATTGAAATATAGTATTTTCATATGTATTTTATGACTTCTGCAGATAGAGTATCGATACTATAGGGATAATATCGATACTTGTTCTTCGTTTTAGGCAAATTCGTGAGTTTCTAGGTAAGAGTATGAAACTTTGAGTCATAGTTTTGAAACACCCAGAAAGTTTCAAAACTAGTAAGAACAAAATGTTTAAAAATATTGATACTTGTATAAAATATTGAAACTTTTGCAGAAGTATCAATATTTTCAATATGTTTTGGGCAAAAATGTCAGTTTTTAAGAGAATTAAACTCAAGATACCCAACACTTCAATATTTCCTCACATAATACTTCAAGTGAGAACATTAATGATGTTTAATTCGAAAGTGTGATGTTTGATATAGAGATTCGGGATCACATTCTCAATAGACTAAAGGTGTATGAACTCTGAAATACATAACCATCAGATGCACCATAATGTCTACCTAGAATAAACTTTACCCGAGAATCAAATATTATTAAAGATGCCTTTTTGAAGTAATCCAGACCACAAACCGATTCACTCGTGGCCTTCTCAAGTCCTCAACCGATTCCCAGAAAAAAAACTCTCCTCTTCCCTCCTAATCATCACACCTTCAATTTTGGTTTTGAATACTCAAACTCAGCTTCCCTTCCTTTCTTTTCAGACATTCTTCAACACAAGAAAAAACAGAGATGGCAAAATTCACCATTAGATTAGATAACTTTTGTTTTCTTCCTCATAACGCCAGCGCTTCCCAAAGTTCAATTTTTTTGGGCAGAACTTCCCGGAAGAATCTTCACTTGGAGTTAATTCCTTCAAAGCATCGGTTGAATTTCAAAGTTTTATGTAGAATCAAGGAGAAAGAGAATGTTAAAGACGAGAGAGAAAAGGTTGGTGCTTGCAGTGGTGGGTTAGTAAACGGGGTACGTGTCGAGGAGCTGGACAAAAACGCAGGTTTGGGTATGGAAAATGCGTCAAGAGAAGCTGGTTTTGATTTGGTTTGGCCTCCATGGAAGAATATTCCTCAGAGATATAAGCTCATCGGTACCACTTCACTTGCCTTTGTTATTTGCAACATGTATAAGGTTGGTCTTTGACATTTTTTTGCTTTGATCCTATTCTCTTAGGCAATTTAACAAACAGTTTGCAGATCACAACTCATAAGAAATATATTATGAAGCTAAAGTTGACCTGTCGATGCCAGTAATTGCCTTTCTGAGTCATGTGATGTTATTGCAGTGAAACTCCTCCATAGAACTCCATGCAGAACCTTGGGGACATTTGTATGTTGAAATGAACAAAAACAAGTTACAATATTCATTATTTACTTTTATGTTTAGGTTGACTTAATTTTATTAAGTGTTAAATGGGATAGGTGAACTTGAGTGTTGCTATAATTCCAATGTCACATCAGTTCGGGTGGAATTCATCAGTATCTGGATTAGTGCAATCATCGATCTTCTGGGGTTATGCATTGAGTCAGTCGCCAGGGGGTTGGCTTTCGAAGCTTTTTGGTGGAAGGTTAGTTTTTTTTTTATGACTTCGGCTATTGAGTTCAAATGTGCAATCTTTCCACTTTATTCGTGATTTCTTGC